GAGTTAGAGTGAGGACAATCTACACAGGTTTTTGTAATTCTCGTGGATACAAGTTTTGTCTGTTCTCTCTCACTTACTTATATCAGTATGAGCTCCTGGGTGTTTGGTTTACGCTTTGGGTCATATCCAGTACTGTTTGTCTATTTTATTGTCCAGAGTGTTGATCTCAGTTGTCTCCTGTGCTCTTTTAAAGTGATTCCCTCATTCCCAGTATTTTAGGTTTTTGTTAGTTTGGTTGGTTATTCTTAATTAAAACTTTTTTTTTTCATTTCTGTCCTTTTACTTTCTGGCACTACAAGATGGTCTGGGCTCTTCTTGTGTATTTCTGGCCCCAATACTACAAGCAGCCATTTCTCTAAAGGACCCTGGTCCTCTTTATTGGAGAGTGGTATTAGAACTCAAGGTCTTATCTGGGTGCTAGGTGTGCCCAATAAATACATTTTTAAAGTAAAATTACCTTAAAAGGCTAATAACTAAACAATTAGCAAATTTCTTTTCCATCAAATTTAAACTCTTTTGAGCTTTTTATACTGATTTTTTGACTCTCTATCACTAATAGTTTGCTTATGCTAGTACTTGATAAATCAATTGGAGAAATTATCTATCAATATCCAGTAAAGGAGAGCAGAGTTTGGCTTTCTTGCACCTTTACCCCAGTTCCTCTTTACCCATTTCCCAGTCTAGTTACACCACACTTTTGTGTTAAGCCAGCAGTAGCCAGGCTTTAAATTTTAAAGTGTGATAGTGAATCTTGCTTGTCAACTTGATTGGTGAGACTAATAAAGCACACTTCTGTGTGTGTCTGTGAGGGCATTTCCAGAGAGGATTACCTGGGATGGGGGAGAGACCCACCCTGAATGTGGATGGCTCCATCCCATATGCTGGGGGCCCAGATGGAGTGAAAAGGAGAAGGGGAGAAAACCTGCTAGAACAGTCATTCGCTCTCTGTCTGCTTCCTGGCTGACATGATGTGAGTTTCTCTGCTCCTCCATGCTCTCCCCTTCCATGATACACTGAAACCTCAGAAACCATGGGCCAAAATAATTGATTCCTCCATTGAAGTTTCTCTCTTGGGTATTTCGTTACAGAAAGCTAACACTCAATGTAGTTATCTTTCACCTTGGCAAATGTAGTATATTTATATTTCTTATATAATATTTTATCTTTCCTGATTATATTGCCTGTTATTTTTCCTTTTCTTAATTTCCCAAGAATCCATAAAATATTCATCCCTAATGTGTCAGTGTATCTGTCAAAGACCTATTGAATTTACTTTCAAAATACCTAAAAGCATGAGATAGCAACTATACGTTCCACCATGCTCCAAACCTTGTATCCGTCTCTACCTTCTGCTCTAGCCTGGCTTGGTTGCTGTAGTAACTAGTCCCAAAAAATGCTTTCCCCACAACCCCAATGAGCCACACTTCCTGGTGATCACACTTTTGTATTGGTGCCCCTGCTTGATTGACAGAACACTGTAGAAAGGACAGTGAATGACACCTAAGTCTATAGTTCACGTACCATCCATTGCAGATTATTCCTCAGCCTGATGGACTGCTCATTTTTGAGAAAGCCAGACACAATGTAAACAAAAATATCACTACTTTGAGACTGTCATACTGTGAGCAAGTCCAAGGTACTATGAGAAAAGGCCATTTGGATAGAGTTGCCAGTCCAGTTCATAACTCTTCTTGAGTCATTCTCTCAGTCCACTCGACATGTGAGTAAAAAGTCATTGTTGATGGGCAATCATGTGGATATAAAAGTTGTCTTGGACAAACTGTCCAGGGTGGTCTCCAAGTGGCACTGGCTCCAGCTGCTGTGCTGAATGAGCTGAGCACAGCCCACCCAAGGAAGCGAGAAAAGTAAGTTATCCAGGTACTAAGTTTCGGGTGGTTTATGATGCATTGATAAAGAACTGAAAGCGTTGGATCTATTCTGCAGTTATCTTTCTGGAATTTTCCTTCTCCTGAATTGGACATCCTGTTTTCTAGATCCTATGGCTTTGTTTCCCAGGTTAATTCTCTTGGTTTGCTACAAATTTCTCTTCCTTATCTCCCTAAGAAAGGACATAGAAGAAGTAAATCTTTAATTTGTCGATGTCCAAAATGGTCTGTATTATATTCTTACACTCGGCTGGGCATAAGATTCTAAGTTGAAAAATCATTTTCCTTGCTGAAGTTTTAAAATATTCCTGTGTTCTTTTCTAACTTTGTTGTTTAGATCAACACCATTCTGACTCCAAATCCTTTCAGTGCAGTATGTTTTTGCTTCAGTTTTCCTGTGGAATCTTTAACACCTCTTATTTAAGTCTGATGTTCTGATATTACATGGCATAGACTATTTCGTGAGGACTTTTTTTATTGCTTAGTAATTGCTGGCCTCCTGTTCTGAAGACTCTTATCTTTCAGTTATGGGAAAATCTTTTAAAAATATTGCTTTAATCATTTCTTCACTACTTTTTTTTTGAGACAGGGTCTCCTATGTAGCCCAGACTGATCTCAGATTTGTAATCCTGTTGCTTTAGCTTCCCAAGTGCTGAGATTACAGATATGCACCACTGTTCCCAGCTTCCTCTATTTTTTTTATTGTGCTAGAATAGCCCTACCTGCATGCTATTTTATATGGTTATACTTTTTTAGCAAACTTCCTTAACTTTTTTTTTTTCAAAGCCTTCCACAAAGTTAGTGGTAGGGATAATATTTTTAACTTTCAAGAGCTCTTTCTTATCCTCTGAGTTTTCCTTTTTTGTAACTTTTCTATTATTTTTTAAGGATATAAAAATATTTCTTTCTCAGAAGACATTTGCTGTTAAGATTTTTTTAGTGTTATCTTTTTTATTAATAGACAAAGTAGTGAGTTTCATTATAACATTTTCATGCATGTATATAAGGTATTTTGATTATAAAGTACTCTGGTACCCACAACTTCCCCCTCCCACTGGTCCTCTTCCTAGTCCTAAAAATTCCCTTCTAATTTCATACCATTTTTAATATCTTAGGTATATACCTGAAGGAATCAAAGGCAGCATACAATAGAGGCACCTGCACACCCATGTTTATAGCAGCACTATTCAGAATAGCTAAGCTATAGAATCAGCCTAGGTGCCCATCACTGGATAAAAGCATAAAGAAAATATGGCATATAAATAAATATATATAATATATATAATACAATGGAGTATTGTTCAACCATAAGGAAGAATGAAATCATGTCATTTGCAGGAAGATGAGTGGAACTGGAGGTCATCATTTTAAGTGAAATAAGCAGACTCAGAAAGGCAAGTATCAGATGTTTTCTGTCATAAGTAGAGTATATAAAAACCTTTTTTGTAAACTTTCCTCCGCTCTCCTTGTTGCCTGTGTCTCCTGTTCAGGTTGAAGCCTTTCCTCAAGTGTTTAGGGAGCCTTAGTTGTCTATTCACGACTACAAGTGACACACTAAAGATGAATCACAATTTCAATATCCATGGTTGAAGTCATGTACTGCTGACTTTATTGGGGGAGGGCTTGGGTGGTATGGTTGGAGAATACCTAAAGAACATCTGGGAATATTTTATATGCTCATTCAGTTGATTCAGAGATTAACTCTGTCAATTTCCTGGGGATAGGATGGGAAAAGGATACTATGGTCTGTAGAAATTCAAATTTTCTCCCAATCTCCCTTTTGTCATCTCTGCCCCATGTGTCTGGCTTCTCAGAGTCCAGAACCGCACCTGACATTTATATTTTCACAGTGTGAGTGAAGTTGAATGTTTGCAGAGCTTTCAGATGGTTATAATCATATGAAGATTTTGTCAAAACTTTTAGAACATTTGTGCATCTTCGAATTTCCTCTCTGGTGCCGAGTAGTTTAGACTTGGTCTTACCCTAAGTTAAGGTCACAGGTCAAAGGAAGATGCAATAAATAAGAGCATGGACTTTGGAATCAGGAAGTCCTGGTTTTGAGTCCTGTTTCTACAATTTTTTAGCTATGGGTATTGAGTAATTTTTTTTAACTCTCTTAAGCCTCCCTTCCCTTGCCTGATAAATGGGAGAAGTAATACCTATTTCCAGAGTTGTGAGAGTTAAATAATGCAGTATTTGACTTGGAAGAGTACCTGGCATATAATTGTGTACTCAATACATGCTAGTGATGAAAAAAATTCTAATTTATTTAAACATATCAGGGTGGTGAGCAACAATTTGATTCTTCTATCTTATTCTGTAGGGTTGGTTATACCATTGAGTCTATGGAGTCTCTGGACTATAAGTTCATCTAGTTCAGGCCCTGTGATCTGGTTCAAGAATTGCCTTTTGTGCACCTCCCCCCTCAGATGGCTTTACCAGCAAGCAATGGTGTTGGTCCTAGGTTGTGGGTCTGTTAGCTGGCAAGCCATTTTTGTAGCCACCACCATTAGTTTCCTTTCCTGATCCCCCTTCTTTACTTTCCCCACAAACTCTAACGGTATTTTGGGTTTCTGTGATGATTGATGGCACCCTTGATTTTCTTTCTCCATTATGATAGCAAGGGGGTCAGGGGTCAGGGGTCAGGGTAAGGAAGAAACCAGAATGGGAGTGGAGCCAAATCCCAGTACCTTTCCTTTGGCTGCCAAAGGAAACAATTGCCCTGGCAGAGCTTCATTGCATTTTATCACAAAATACACAGCAGTCAGGATGACTGTGGCTCATGCAAGGTTACAAATACACATACACGTAAGCACAGATGGATACTCACGCACACACGGGAAATCCTCCTGGATACATGGACAAGGAGGCAAGTGGACACCTGCTGTCACTCCACACATTTGTCCACACACTCACAGATTGGTCACCAGGAGAAAAGTGCTAAGCACATTTTATCATACATCCCAAATCGAGGGAGGCCACTCAGAATGGGGGAAAAGGAAGATTAGGAGACAAAAATGAGAACTGAAACTAAAATGTCCTACCCAGTCAGCAGTAAGTGTGGTATAAGACATGGGTTTTGGACAGACACACAGACAGACAGACTCCTGTCAAAATGTCCACAGGGTCTCTCATTCTCTGCCTGGTGATGGAACTCAGCTGGCTTTATCTGAGTAAGTGTTCTGGAGCCTTCCAGGTGGCAGTTCCTATATTGTCACACTCTCCCCTCCCCCTCCAGGCTTTATTTTCTGGATGGTCTCTCCCTTGCCTTGTTACTCAGGGTTCATCCACAGACTGATTTAGGGCTTTAGGTGGGGTAATTTGTGCTTATATCAGAAATGACACTTTAAGAAAAGACATAGACATGATGTGTCAGAAAAATGGGGATAAGGTATTTCAGAGCCAGGACAATTTGTTTAATTCTTATTGTTTTCTTTATTTTCAGGAGTGTTTGCTTGCTTTTTGTTTTATTTTATTTTTCTGGGGATGGAACTTCAGGGTGAGGCATTGCTTATTTGTTGGTTTAGACACGGTCTTGCTATGTAGCCCAGGCTGGCTTTGAATTCATAATCCTCCTGTCTGGGATTGCAGACATGGGCCACTATGCCTGGCTAAGATGACATTTCTTTTTTGTACGTTATTTGCAGTTCTGGCCAGGGAAGACCTTTGCATCCTGGGGTGTAGGTCAAGTGCTGTAACGAGCTGCAGTCCCTTCTGGTCACTCACAGTGACAGTGGGGATGGACAGCCATTGCTCTGGCTCTGCCATGTGTGAGGTGAGGGACCCGAATTGGACCCCTGACTACCTGGGATTCTAGGACTAGATTCTGTGTACTGGCCCTTGCCATTTTAAAAGTGCGTGGTTATTCACACATGAATTTTTCAATCGTACTGTGGGAAAAAGCATCCACAGCCCGAGGAGAACAAACCTATTCGCTCCTCCTCTCAAGCCCATGTCATGCTACTGTTTCTGCCTCTTCCTTTCCTCTGTTCATTCTTTTTTATTTTCTGTGGTGCTTCGGTTTGAACTCAGGCCTACACCTTGAGCCACTCCACCAACCCTTTTTTTATGTTAGGTGTTTTCAAGATAGGGTCTCATGAACTATTTGCCCTGTCTGGCTTTGAACCACGATCCTCCTGATCTCTGCCTTCTGAGTAGCCAGGATTACAAGTGTGAGCCCCCGTGCCCAGCCCTCTGTTCATTCTTTTGTAGAGGACACAGTACGTGCTGAACTCAGGTCTCCATAACATCAGGTGTTTCCTATCCACCCTGTCCAGCCTCCAGACTTGCTCAGGTGCTTCTGCTGAGTACCTGTCCTCTCTCTGCTTCCTGCTGTAGCACTTGTCACTCTATATTAGCAGCTCAGTCCCCTGCCTCTCTCTCCACACCCTCTGCAGGCTTCATGGAGGTGGCTCAAGTCTCCTTTGTTGCTTGTTTCCTGGCACCTGGGGCCATAGTGGGGACACACTAGACACTCAAGAAATAATCTGCAGATTGAAAATAGTCTCTAACTTTCCATACTTTCCTTTTGGGTTTTGGTGTGAGCACCCATTGTTATTATTATTTTTTAGTGTAAGAAAACTACAGTGTGGCTTTTAATCAATGTTTTTACAGATCTTTTTGTTACCCTGAAGTTTGGAGAGTCCTGTGTTGAAATACCCCACTTATCCCATTCATGGCAGGACACTGATTGAATAGGATTCTCCAACTTTCTTTGAAGGAGGCTGCATCCGGTCAACTCTTCTTTTTGCTTGTTTGTTTGTTTGACTGGCTGGGGTTTTTGTTGTTGTTGTTTCTCTGTTTTCGTTTTTTGAAACACGATCATGCATAGCCCAGACTGACCTGGAACTCACAATCTTCCTGCCTCAGCCTCCTGAAGGCTGGGATTACAAGGCTGCATCATCATGCCAGGCTTTTGTTGGTTTTTTGTTGTGTGTTTGTTTTTGTTTTTAAAGTGCCTTTAGTAAAATGACTAACTTAGAGGAGAGTGAGCCCTCAGAATCCCCAAGGGCCCAAAAAGGATGGTTTGTACCCTGGGATAGCCCTCACTCCGCAGTTGGGCTCCCTGAGATCTGGATTGAGGAAACTGGAGAAGGGTTTTTCTTAGGGTCACCACCCGGAGAAGGCATTATGCTGGCATTTGACACCTTTTGTCCAATGAACCTCAGGACTGTTTCTGAGGGAGCACTGTCCTCCCTGACTTATGATGAAGATCGTGGCTTTCCTCCAAGAGCACAAAAGCACTAAGTGGCAGGGTGAGGTTCACAGTGTCACCCTAATGGGTATTTTTCTGCCACACCAAGCTGCCCACTTCCTTCTTTTAAATATTAATTTTTAATCAGATGAGTAATATTGAAACTCTTTTAGTGAAAATATAAGAACGTCATAAAGCTAAAATTCCTTCAATTGTCACGCCCGGCTCCGGTCCTCTTCCCTCATCACAAGGGTAATGATGCTGTGACTTCACTATCTGTCCAGCCACACACTTTTTATTTACTTATTTTTGCAGAACTGGGCTTTGAATTCCGGGCTCAATAAACTTCCTTAGGCATAGCTCACTAAACTTTATTTTTCAAATAGGCTCTTGCATTTGTTGCTTGGGCTATGATCCTCCTACCTCTGCCTCCTGAGTAGCTGGGATTACACGTGTGTGCTATCATGCCCCATTTGTTTTTGAGATAGGATCTTGCTAACTTCCTGCCTGGTCTTGAACCTTGCATCTCTGCCTCTCACATAGTTGGGATTACAGGCATGAGCCATCATACTTAGCACACTAGACACTTTTCTACGCATTTGCTCTCATTTAACAAAAAAGAGCTTATATTTTATTTCTTGTTTTGAAACTAGAGCTTTTCATATATGATAGTAGCGTGGAGTTTTCATGTTAATTCAGATAGTTCTAGTTAATACCATTCATTTACATAGAATCCCATGCAACCCAAGAATCCCCAGTTTGGCCATTCCCGTGTGTATATATGCACACTGTTCATTTCATTCACACATACACAGAAGCTGCAATAATAAATATTTGCAAATAGGTGTCCTTGTGCACATGCATTTTTCTAGGGTAGATAACAAATGTGAAATTGTGGAGGCACAGGTCGGTCACGTGCATGCTGAATTTAATAGAAACTGCCACATTGGCCCATTGTGTAGCTGTACCAGTTCATACCCCATTTCTCCTGTGTGTTCCAGAAGACTGAGTCATTCCCTAGGTCCTTCCACCAGCGTCTGGTTTACTCACACCCTGGCCAATTCTTGATTTTACCAGTGTTCTAAACTTTTGCCACTCTAACAGGTGAGACATTGGCTGTGCATGAATTGCTAGTGTGCCCTTTGCTCGTTTTTCTGTTGAATCTTTTTTTATTTTGTAGTAGGATGTCTCTTCGAATACCTCAGTACTCAAGAAAATACACTGCTAAATCTCCAGTAGAAGTTATTTTGTCTATATTTTTAATTGGCTTACCCACTCCTCATAGGAAGAAGCAAATGGCTTAGTAGCTATTATTTCTAGGTGCACAGGCTCCGTGTCACCACAGCTGACAGAGATGCTCTTATTGCTTATCTATTTCTCTCCTGGTTCCACGGGGTACAAAATGGACTTCCCGCAGTATTTGTAATCTGCAAAGCATTGCCACTGTGGCAAAGGAAAGAGACTGTATTCAGGGAAGGTTGTTGGTTGGACCCACTTTGGAGTGACCTTCGTTACAAGAGCCAGCTGCGTGGGATTCACGAAGCGCATGCTTTGCTGTCCATGTAGGGGACTCCCAGGGTTCCTGCTCCTCTTCTCTTAGGGAGGAATACGCGGATGTTCCTAACAGCCGAGTCAGGGGAAACCAAGCCTTACTCAGATTAGCCGATCAGGTCTTCAAAGTTAGTGAATGGACAGTCTCACCAGAGGGTACCTTGGAGAAAACACCAAGCAGGGACTCAGATAGCCAAGGGGAAGCCTGGTGGCCTGTCACTCCAGTAGCATTCGACAGGGAGTGAGGTTTAGAACAATTGCTCGTGCTCAATCGACCCAATGGGCCTGACGCTTGCAGTAGTGACAATGTTTCACAGAAATGGAAGGGCTCTTAGACGAGCTTGTCTAGTGGTTGTCACACACTGGGGGGATGGCTGGCTGTCTCAGAAGAACCAGGAGATGATTGAGGTTCCTATCCTTGGCCCTGGCCTCTGAGATTCTGACTCAGATTTGGACATTGAAATATGCATTTTTGTGATTGGAACCAGTGGCTCATGCCTTTAATCCTAGCTACTCAGAAGGCAGAGATCAGGAGGATCTCGGTTCAAAGCCAGCCCAGGCAAATAGCTCACAAGACTCTATCTTGAAAATACCCAACACAAAAAAGAGCTGGTGGAGTGGTTATTAATTAGCTCAATCAAACCTTTCTAGAATGCATACATAAATCAAAATATCACATCATAACCCAATTATTATTGTCTATTAAAAATAAATAAGTAAAGAATCCATGAACTCCTCCTAACTGTGTGTCCTCTATGGTCCAGAGCAAGCAATTTCCTTTTCTAGCACGGAGAGGAGAGGCGAATGGGGTTCAGCTCAGCCCTCATGTTCCTGTCCTAGTGCCCTCTGGGTTGGGAGACCCATTTGAAACATTCAAGTCAGTAGCATGCCATAGCTACTTATTGAGATACTTTGGGTAGAATGTTGTTTCGGATGGGTTTATATGAAATAGTTGGATCAGATCACAGATTCAGGACTTTTCATTGAGAATTTATTGGTTTATTTATTGATTATGTGGTACTAGAGTTTGAACTCAGGACCTTGCACTTGCTAGGCAGGCGCTCTACTACTTGAGCCAAGTCTCCAACCCACTTCCTTTTTTTCTTTTATTTTTCAGGTAGGGTCTTGTGTTTTTTGCCTAGGGCAGGCCTTGGACTGAGATCCTCCTACCTACAGTCTCCCATGAAGCTGGGAGCACAGGCACATACCACCATGCTTAGCTTATTTGTTGAAATGAGTTCTTACTAACTTTTTTCCTGGGCTGACTTCGAGCTATGGCCCTCCTGATCTCTGCTTCCTGAGTTACTGAGATTATAGGCATGGAGCCACTTTCCCAGCTTTATTGGTTTATGGGATGGTTCTCAAAACGTAGAGTGTTGAAATCAGCAAAAGGTCTTCAGCAGAGATGAGTTCAGAGACTTGGGGGGTCCAGTGATCTCCACTGGGGGTGTGAAAGCATCTGGAGTTAGGAGATGGGCAGTGCTGTGCTAAAGAAACGTACAGACTATAACTCTCTGCCTCTTCCTGGGAGCAACTATTTGCACAAAATCCTGGGGCACACCTGAGAGATTCTCACCTACATGACTTTGTTTTCTCCTTTCCTTGAAGCACCAGCTGCATCGGAGGTTGTGGTGATGGGGTTTTTGGGTCAGTCGGTGACTTTGCCTTGTGTCTACTCATCCTGGTCTCCAAGCAGCAATAGCATGTGCTGGGGCAAAGGCCCGTGTCCCAACTCCAGGTGCAAGCAGGTGCTGCTCCACACGGATGGCATGGCAGTGACCTCGGGGAAGTCGGCAAAATATGGACTTCAAGGCAATATCCAGCGAGGTGATGTCTCCTTGACCATCTCAAACACCAATGACGGTGACAGGGGCGTGTATTGCTGCCGAATAGAAGTGCCTGGCTGGTTCAACGATGTGAAGAAGAGCATTCGTCTGGTGCTGAGGAGAGGTGAGCACAGGGAAGGGCTCGGCTCTGGGGAAGGAGCAGGCTGGTGACTCGTGGATGACAGATTCCCTGGGAGGTGATGGTGACAAGACTGTACTTGCTGAAGCAGTCAGTGGGATGATTATATCTGAAATGATGAGCCATGACAGGGAGCAGGTGACAAACCCATGTGTCTGTGGGGGCCAAGACAGCCACCCAAATGAGTGAGGGGTACATGGGGAGGGAATGGACCAGGACACTGCAAAGTCACTCAGAAGAGGGCAGCTGTTACTGATCTAGGAGGCTGGCTGTCACCTTGGAGGGCTTTGGACCCAGTGTTTTTAGATCTCCCAATTTGTAGGTTTTTGGAAATTTTTTCCAAAAGAATATTGGGATTTGAACTTAGGGCCTTTTGTTTGCTAGGTAGGTGCTTCTACTGCCAAGACACTCCTCTAACCTTTTTTTGCTTTTTACTTTTCTTTTCAGACAGGGTCTCAAGTTTTTCTTTTATTTTTTGATAGGACTGGGGTTTGAACTCAGGACTTTGCACTTACAAAGCAGGTGCTATACTGCCTGAGCCACACCCCCAGTCTGTTTGCTCTGGTTATCCTGGAGATGGGGGGTCTCACAAACTATTTGCCTAGGCTGACCTCGAACTGTGATCCTTCTACCTCTGCCTTCTGTGTAGCTGGGATTATAGATGTGAACCACCATGCCTGAGCCCAGATCTCCCAATTTTTATGTGAACTATATTGATTTTTTTCATGTTACCTGATTTCAAATTTTTAACAAAATTACTATATGAACTAAATAAAATGTACCATGGTGCAACTTCAGCCTCTAAACCAATGGTCTGTGACTTCTGGCAGAGGGAAAAAGGCATGGCATTTGGTGTCATGCTTTCTGTAAATTTCAGGTTCTTGCTTTCTGTCACTATCAGGTGCTTTTGATAAAATTTAGAATGTGGTGGGACTCTGAAAGGCTTGAGCTGTGCAGAATGAGTCATAGGGAGCCAGTGGCTGAATTCTATGAACAGTAGTCACTTTTAGTGCTCGTCTGAAGTGGTGCTTCATTGTAAGCTGTGTTTTGCACACACATCATCACCTGGAGAATCCTTGGGCTCTGATTCTAACAGATGGGTGCCTTGGGAGGCAGGGTCTGGATATCTATGTTCCTTGGCTTCTCAGATGACTAATGCATTCTAAAATTGGAGAGTGACTGCTCGTGGATGCTTTTAATTAGAGAACTTTCATACATATTAGCGTATTTTTTCTCTAAAGTAACTTTGTGAGATCAGACATATTATAAGTGAAGTTTATTGAAGTTAAATGATTCCATCCAACCTAAATCTTGTCTTTCCTTGCCTGGTATCACTAGCTATTTTTTTTTATAAAACACTTGTTTTGGCCTCAGTAGTTTACAGAATCACTTCCAAGTTCACTTGGAACAAATGGTGTCTTTGGCTTCACTTAAGTCTGTGGGAATTTGGCATATTCTGGAGAGGGTGAGAAGCATAGAGTGAACTCTGGCTAATGAACACACAAAAGTAGATACTTGTGGAGTGATGCTGGCATACACCATTCTTTAATACCTGAAGGAGAGAGTATGGATTCTTACCCAAAGTCTCATACCTTGGGCTCACTTGTTTCTTAGAGACAAGGTCTCCCTAGGCTGCACAGGCTGGACTGGAACTTGCTATGTAGCCCAAGTTGGCCTTAACCTTGTGATCCTTCTGACATGGGCTCCCAAGAGGCTGAGACTGCTGAGGTGTGCTATCATGCCTGGTTTTGGACTTGCTTTGATGCATTTGTTCATTTGTGTAATATTTTCAGAGCACCTACTACAAGCCAGACACTGTGACAGGTATTGGATTCATAGCAGAGAATAAAATCAATGCCAGCATTTCCTCATGCTGCTTACAGTCTAGAGGGAGAAGCAGACATTAAACAATAATAAATAAATGCATGGTTATAAAATGTCATAAATGTGGAGAAGATAAAGAGTAAGAGACATAACAGAAGACTGTCATTGCAGTATGTGATGTCCTTTTTTACAGAAGTGACCTTTTAGCAGATTGTTGAGGATTGAGCAGGAATCATTTTAGTGGATAGGATGGTGCACAGGAGTGAGAACGGGATGGCAAGTTCTGAAGTTCCTGTGGCTAAAAGGTCAGTGATGCACTCAAAGAAGTGAAGAAAGGCAGCAGCCTAGAAAAGTGACAAGAGGGGACTGGAGGCATGGGATTGGAAAGACAGCAAGGTCATTCTAGTGGTCCAGGCAAACGCACAGGTGAAGGTGGCAGAAATGGAGAGAGAAGGGACAGATCCCAGATTTGTTTCTGTTCCTTCTCCTCCATCTCCTCTTGGTGCCACCCACATCTTCCATTGGTTTTTGTAGCCCCAACAACCACAGTCAAAACAACAACAACCTCTTGCACAACCACCAGCCGTCATGTGGCGACAACCACAGAGGTCCTCCCAACAACTGTCACGACTACACCTGACCTCACAACAGGAACACCGCTTCAGACAGGGGCCACCTCTGTCCGCACAACAGTGGGAACCGTGTACCCCTTGACAGCACCGAGTGCCCCTCCACAGGCAACCACAGGTCTTCTCACCACTGAGACCACCACAGAAGGGTCCGACCTCCCTGCAGGTGAGAACTGGTCATCCTTTCCTTAGGACAGGGTTCTTCCGCTGAATGGGACAGCCCAGTGAGACCTGCTCCTGGGTGTGTGTGTGTGTGTGTGTGTGTGTGGCTCAAACAATAGAAATTTATTTTCTCATGGTTCTGGAGCCCAAAGTCCAAGGTTAAGGTGCCGGCAGGGTTTGTTTCTTCTGAGTCCTTTCTCCTTGTCATAGATGGGTGTGTTCTCTGTGTCTTCACTTGGTCTTCCCTCTGTCTGTTGTTACTGTGTCCTAATATCTGACAAAGATACCAGTTATATTGAATTAGGGTCCATTTCATTACCTTATTTTACCTTAATTAACTCTTTAATGGCTGTATGTCATATGTTATGTTTGGAGGTGCTGATGGGGGTGCTGGTTTGTAGCACAGTGGTTGAATTCTTTCCTAGCAAATGCAAGGCCCTAGGTTTGATCCCCAGCACCTCAAGGAAAGAAGCAAACAGATGAACAAAAAACCCTCCTTTGAGGGGCTGAGAGTAGCACTACAACATATGAATTTTGGGAGGAAACAATGCAGTCCATAACTCTGATGTGGGTCAGGGAGAGATGGGGAGAGGGAGAGGGGAAGAAAATGAGGACGTGGTTTCACTGAACTGTTTAAATTTATGGTTTTATGGGGGCTTTTTTCTTATTTATTTATTTATTTATTTTTTGGCTCTCTGTTTCCCTTTGTGTTTTTTGAAAACTCAGCATTTTGGGTTTTCCACCTGACTTCCAGGAGTCTCGCAGAAGTTGTTGATTGAAGAATTAGGAGAGGTTATTCAGGGTCTGACTCAGTTGTGTCTTCTCAGGAGTGAGGCCTCTGCCTGGGTATTTGAAATTCATTCAGGAAAGGCCTTGGTGGCCAACTTGCTGTATCCTTGTTTCTCCCTTTTCTCCATTTTTTTTCCTTCTGAATATTTCTTGACCCTGCCTGTTGTACCTCTCAGGGTCAGGAGATTGGGTGCGGGGGTGAGAGGAAGCTTGTTAAGGCCCCCATCATGCTTCAACCTCTGATTCTGAGGTAAGAATATGAAGGTTTTCCCAGGCTTTTCAGCTGCCTCAATAAAGCCTAGATAATTCAAATAGCTTTACAAATATTGAATTGACTAATTCTATACTACTCTGAATAGTAACTAAAATCTGCAAACTCAAATTAATCAATTTTGTATGTATTTTTAAATTCCTTTGGGCTTTAAAATAATCCATAGTTTCTTTTCCTTGATTCTAAAAATTACCTTTAACCCTTGAGGAAAATTGGAAATACACGAACACAAAGACAATAAAAATAGCCCTGAATTCCACCACCCACCACAAATACTGTCAACATTATTTTTAGTTGCCTTTTATCATTTTTTTTCTTCCAGAATCAGAAACTTTTTTTCTGTCCACTGACTTTCAGAGAAGCACTGATGAAACTTCTACAGACACTGCTTTGCTCTCATCCAAAGGTGTGTGGACACTTGTGTGCTTATCTATCCTCACCCTAGGCTTAGAGAGAAGCAAAGGCTAAGTAAAAGTGATCCAGGGATGACCCCGTGTCCTTTGTGCCCTGAAGTCCACTGGGGACCAACTAGCATCCGGCAGCATTTGTGCTTGGTTTGTTCCTGTGGCTCTCCCCAGAGGAGAGAGGAGAGAGAAAGGGGGAGAAAGGAGGGAGGAGGGAAGAGAGAAGATAGTGAAGGGAGGAGGGAGGAGGGAAGATGGAGAAAGGAAGAGGGAGAAAGGAGAGCACCCCTCTTGACTCCTGTAATTCTCTGTGGTAGGGCATGGTACATCTCCGATGTATTCACCATTACACTGTTGGCTAGAAACTCAGTGGGAGTTTTTTTGTCTTTGTCTTTTGTTTTTCCAAAGCGTCCAAAGTTTGGATTCTCCCATTTACGTCCCCAGGGGTGATGTGGAAAGTGAATAAGACAGTGACTTCTCAGCCTCGAGGTAAGGGAGCTATGTCCCGGCCAGTGGTTTGCATTTGACTGTGGGAACGATGTCTTGGGATTCAGCTATTTTGGTTCCATTGTGGCCTTATCACACATCCTTCCGTGAGCTGGATGGAAGTGAAACAAGCTGTGAGCACCAGCGCTGGCTTCCGTCCTCCTCTGCTAGTTTCTGAAATCCCTCTTCTGGGCAGCTTCTCACTTAACGCCTAGAATAGTTGTAGAAAAATCACTTATTCATTTTTGTTGAACTATTGTTTATTTATTTTAAATCATGCAAATGACACACTAATGCACTTTTGTTCTGGGTACATAAAAGCAACTGGAAACAAAATTCTCTTTAACTTTCTATCCTCAATCCCAGCCTTCTCTCCTGAGTCAATCTCTGTTACTAGTAAAAGACAATCATTCTAGATCTTGTTCATGTTCCTTTATGGATGTGTATAGATATAGAAATATCTGCTTTTTGATTTATGTATACATTTTTTTTAAAAGCCGTGATATGCCAGGTACCAGTGGCTCTCACATCCTGCAATCCTAGCTACTTGGGAGGCTGAGATGAGAGGGATACTGGTTCAAGGCCAGCCTGGGCAAAAAGTTTGCAAGACCCTATCTCAACCAATAGCCAGGCCCGATGGCACACACCTGTCATCCCAGCTACATGGGGGAATGAGAACAGAAGAATCACAGTTCTAAGCCAGCCTGAGTGAAAAACTTTGTGAGACTTCATCTCAACTGAAGAAAGCTGGGTGTGGTGGTATGTGCTCGGCCTCCCAGTGACAGCAAGAGATGTAAAAGAGGAGGCTTGTGGTCCAACCAGCTTGGGCAAAAAGCAAGATCCTATCTTCCAACATAACCTGAGCAAAAAGAGCTGGTGGTGTGGCTCAAGTGGTAGAGCACTTGGTTTTATTTTTTTAACATTATATATTGGGCCACTTTTTTCTGGTCCATCTGGATATCTGCAGTGTTGTGCTAAACTGTGTAGAATATTCCAGACTGTTGAGTACTCATAGCATCCATTCCCTATTGAGTGGCATAGATGTTGCTCCAGGGTTCCTCGTAACAACGAGCAGTGGTGCTGTGGACATCCTTGAATGGGCAGGCTTCCTTAAGCATGTAGGCAAGACATTCTCTAGGTAGGTTGGCAAAGTAGAAATGCTAGGTTGAAAAAGTGTACACTGTTAAATTTAATAGCTATTACAAAGTTGCCCTTGAGAGAGGCTGTGGGGTTTCTTCCCCTAGATGTCCTCAATTTCCTCCCCATTTCTTCATGTAGTTTTCAGATGGCAAGCTTCTGCAATAGAGGGCTGGTTAGCATTATTCCTTAGCATGACTCAGAGTGACAATTCCTCTCCTCCTCTCTATGGCTGCTCTAGAATGGTGCTCAGAGCTAGGGAGTGACTTGCCTAAGCTCACACAACTGGGCAGTGGGTGACATCCCTGTGCAGGGGAGTTTTAAACTATGTCTATGAGCTCCTTAATGGAGATTGTGGGTGAACTCTTAGGAGAGCATGAACTTCTGAAATGAGTTGCATAATTGTGTGCGTATGTGTGTATATACATTTTTCGGTGGAGGGAGTCTAACACTTTCGTTAGATTCTCCAAAAAATATGCAAGGTTCCAAATGGATAGGTACAAACAACAAACTCAGACAACCAACTCTGACTAGACAGTGCGTAGGTTTCTTCTTCTCAGGTGTCCATTAGAGGACTAGAAACTCTTACACCGCTATCAGGATTCACTTCATCTCTTGCTTAGCAACAGGAATGTGCTACCAATTTTTTCCTAAAACACCAAAGTTTATTGTTTATGGACTCTTAAGTCAGGGCGACTAGAGCTATGTGATTACACCATTTCTTAAATAATTAAGTGGCCTGAGATGAAGTCTCCTCTGATTATATCACAGGGTCACTTTTATTGCCTCAGCATCCCACAGAGAGCTTAGTAAAAGCGTAGATTACTCTACTGTACTCAAGTATTGCTAAATTAGAAACTTTGGTATGTGTTGGGGGAGGGAGGAGGGTATGGCCAAGAAATGATTGTTTAACAAACTTCCCCAGGAGGGTCTTTTGAGGCCAGCCCCACCCTGGTCCCAAGAAAGCAGATAGGAATTGCTGGGGAAGGACATTATTTTACAAAGAAGGCAACTGAGGCTTAGAGGCATGAAGGAAGTTCAAAGAGAGTGGGTGCCAGGGCCTTGGTAGCACTCTCTTCTGCCTCCCAAAGCTGAGATCTTCCCCCCAGCCTGGATTCTTTTGTTAAAGATAAAATTGAGTTTTACGTGAACTTGACGCTTTTCTGTGTCCTTAGCTGACCAAGGGTATAGAGAAGCTAAGGGTATGAAGAATTGCTGTTCTTACAGGGCATGATGATGCTTGCCTATAATTCCAGCTACTAGGGAGATAAAGGCTGGGCCCAGGCAAAAGCACAAGACCCTATCTGAAAAACTGCAAGCAAAGCAATTGTGGATCAAGTGGTAGAATGCTTGTTTGCCCAGCAAGTGCAGGGGCTGTGAGTTCGATTCCCAGTACCGCTAAAAAAGAAAAGAAAGGAAAAGAATTGCCATTCTTGGTACAAGTTCAGCAGAAGGAACAGAAGAAAACTGAGTCATGAAGCAGGCTTGGTTTTACTCACAAATGCCACTGTTAGGGAGAAAGACCTTGAATGCAGTTGGTTTCAAAGTCAGCATCTTTCATTCAGCATTAGCTGATTAACTCTATCTTGCTGTTCCCAGGTTTCCACAGTTGACTGTCAGGGAATCAAGAAAAAGGACCAAATGTGAATTTTCATGATTCTTTTCATAATAGCCTTGTATTCAATCGCCCATACCAATGGGGTTTTTTAAATTAATGAAGTTGGAATTGAATTCATGTAATACTAGCATCTAACAACTCCCCTTTCAGAAAGGTCAAGCAAATAAGATCAAAGACAGTTCTCAAGCTTTAAGAGCGATGTCCTTGGTAAAACAAACACAGAGTGAAAAAAAGTTAAGTTTGAGACATTGAAATAGACCTGAGTAGCTGAGTTAGGTGACCAGTGTACAGACACAAGCATCCCTTGGACACCGATCCGTGAGGGGCCCCCATGCCCTTGCACAGGGCTCTGAGTTCAGAGGGGGTAGAATAACTGGGCACACTTTGGGATGAGAACTCTGTTCTTCTACTGGGAACAAGCCCATGAATAAGGGCACAAATGCCCATTGGCAAGTGCCTACCCCCGCACCTGGGGAGTATGGAAACCTGTGGCACCGAGCAGGTGATTGGGAGGGGAAAGGAGAATTTGAAGTCAGGTGTTACTGCTCTATCATTCATAAGCAATCACTGTTGGCTCTGCAGCCTTGGGCAAGACAGGGAACCACTCAGAGCCCTAGCTTCTTCCTTTCGATAGTTCTGCCCAAGTTCACTTCACTCATAGAATCATTTCAAAGTTTGAAGCATTTGTTTTGTGCACTTCGAGTGCTTTGTTGGGCTCATAAACACCATTATCAATGACAACAGCTATGAGGATCTCTTTTCCCTCAATGACCTGGCAGGTGACTGGGGTTCCATTCTAAACAGATTTACTTCCTGTTGTACTCTGTTCTCAGCACTGGTCTTTTCAGAGCAAGTGTGTGTGAGCTCTTGCCATGTTTTTCAAAATCCATGGAGCCCCAAAGATAAGGCTTGGCTCTGCAGATAGATAATCGTGGCTCTGAGTTTTGTTCAGTCCCCTCCTAACTGGGTGACCTAAGCAAGCTGCCCGATTTGTCCAGGCTGCCAGTTTTCCTGCTGAAGGAAAATGACAATGATGGTGCGTACTACAGAACATTTTCTGAGGATTAAATGATATCAAACATAGAAAGTACTCGTAGTCAGTGTGTACTGCACAAGAACCAGTTATTATGGTGCCTATCAATAATTTCAGTGTGTACTGCACAAGAACCAGTTATTATGGTGCCTATCAATAATTCTGAGGCTTCTTAGCTTGAACTCTCTCTCCTGCCCCCTGTCAGGATGTATTGATCACACACGTGATGTGGGCAGAGACGATGCTAGACACTGTCCTTAGAGAGGTGTCCAGTAAGGAAGGATGACAACTGAGGTCTTTGCTTCACCTGGCCCCTCGGCTCGTGACAGCTGCTGATAAGTCTGGGATGTAACACCCGATGATCAGATTGTGCTAATGGGTGTCCCAGGAGCAGGGGAGATTGTCAAGTTCTGACCCTTGACTAATAGTGTTTAGAGTTGCTGTTTATCTTTGTCCACCTCATCGGTGTGACACGAGGTGGCATCTCGCCATTCCTCCTTTATGAACCAATTTGCTCTTGGTTCTCTTCCAACATTAAAAAACAGGTCCCACCCAAGTTTGTCCTTGGAACTAAGGAAACACTTGACTCGTGTACTGTGTCGTGAAGACACATTTAAGTGCATACTGTTCTTTTTTTGCTCATTCCATGTATTAAAAACATGTAGAGGTCTCTGGAATTTAAAAAGTATATGAATTCAGTAAATGTGTGTATCCACTTTCGAAAGGAGTTTGAAATTTCAGATCTGTGCTAACCTTGCCAGGCAAGGGCAGCAAATAGGAATTCTGGACAGAGGGCAGCAAAGACAGGTTCTAGTCACTTGCTTCATTACTGCCTCGTATGAAACCTTGAGCAAATAAGCCATTCTTTATGGGATTAATTTCTCTCTTGGAAAAAGGAGAAATATTTTCAACCCAATTTGAAAATATTCAGGTTGCGATTTTTGAATCCTTTTGCCTTTTTTTTGGATTTTTAAAGACCATACCACAAGTGACCCAGAGGGGGCAGCATAAGCCAGAGGCTAACAATGAAGCAAAAGAACTCTGAAGGCTTGCTGGTGTCACTTTTAAGATTCTAGAATTGTGCTAAGATCGCTTTATTGAATTGACTTATTTCAGAACTAATTTTGTCTTGGAGGTAAAAACAGGTGAGTCCTTGTGTCTGTGAATTCAGTGATGAGTCAACATCTATAGTAGGAGTTATCAGATAAAACTGCT